GCTGGGAGGCACTGTTTGGGGCTAAGGATTCTGGGGGGTCTGAGAGGACAATGGGAGGTTGATGGGCTTGGTGGACTACTGTGGAAGGTTGGGTGGTGCTATGAGAGCTGGAAGGCACTATGGAAGGTTGGGGGGATGCTATGAGAGCTGAGGGACACTGTGAGAGGTTGGGGGATCTGCTGGTGTCTGCAGGCCCAGGAAGAGAGAGGCCATGGTTCTCTCCAGAAGCCTAGAGGCTTTGCATTGTGGGAGACTGGGGGGCACTGTGGGACACTGCTGGAGGTTCTCCACCCAATTGACCTCCATAGGGGGCACTATGGGGGCTGGAGGCTCTGCAGCAAGCTAGGGGGCACTGTGGGGAGTTGGGAAGTACTGGGGAGTTGGGGGTGCTGTTTGGGCTTGGGCTTAGGGCTCTCTGGGGGCCTGGGGGGAAATGTGGGAGGGTGAGGGGTACAGTGGGCCATGATGGGAGGGTTACGGGATCAACAGCTGTATGGAAACATACTACAAGGGATGCCACAGCCTGGCAGTGTACTATGGTCAAATGGGTGGAGAATCACCGGTCTAGAGTACCCATTAAAAAAAGCAGTTTTATTTACCTTTACCTGGTAGACTCCATACAACAGGTCCCCCCAAAGCCACCTATTTTTTTTGTCATCATGTACCATGCAGGACTGGAGGGGGGCTGAAGGGTCTACAGGGTCTACAGAGTCTAGAGGGAACTGCAGGGAGCTGGGAGGCACTGTTGGGGATAAGGGTTCTCAGGGGGTCTGAGGGGACAGTGGGAGGTTGATGGGCTTGGTGGACCACTGTGGAAGGTTGGGTGGAACTATGAGAGCTGGGAGGCGCTATGGAAGGTTGCGGGGATGCTATGAGAGCTGAGAAGCACTATGAGAGACTGGAGGATCTGCAGGTGGCTGAAAGCCCAAGAAGAGAGGCCATGGTCCGGCAGTGGGCCACGACCCAGTGGTTGGGAACCACTGGCCTAATATATATACAGTAGGAGGTATATTTGACCAAAATTATGTTAACACAACTGAATGATCTTTTCCTTAGTTCTGGTAGAATCCATACGAACGGTTCCTCCAAAGCCCTTTCATTCTTCCAGCACCTGAGTGTGCCTAACAGCCAATGGCAAGATCTAACTGAGCTGCTGAAGTAGATATAACATTAATAGCATTGACGTGGTGAGGAGGTAGAATTGCCACACACACAACTGTAGATCCTTCCAACGGTTGCTCTCCCCTTCCAGCGGTGACTTCTTTGCTCTCTTTTGTTAGCAGTGACCCCTGTCCTCTCTCCTTCAAGTGGTGACCCTTTGCTCTCTCCTTCCAGTGGTGACCCTTGTCCTCTCTCTTTCAAGCGGTGACCCCTGTCCTTTCTCCTTCCAGCAGTGACCCCTGTGTTCAATCCTTCCAGCAGTGACCCCTGTGTTCAATCCTTCCAGCGGTGACTCCTGTGTTCAATCCTTCCAGCGGTGACCCCTGTGTTCAATCCTTCCAGCAGTGACCCCTGTCCTCTCTCCAGCGGTAACCCCTGTCCTCTTTCCTGTCAGCGGTGACTCCTGTCTTATCTCCTGCTAGCAGTAACCCCTGTCCTTTCTCCTTCCAGTGGTAACCCCTGTCCTCTCTCCTGCTAGCTGTGACCTCTGCCCTCTGCCCTGCCAGCGGCGACCCCTGTCCTCTTCTTTTCCAGCTTTCACCCCATGTTCTCTGCCCTACTGATCCCCAGTACAATGCCTTACCAATTCCTGTACACTGTCCTAAAAACTAATAGCTCCAGTACACTGCCCAACAAACTGCTGATCCTATCTTTTGTCCTGCTGAACCCCTGTACATTGCCCATCTAAACTCTCATCTTCTGCCCCCCTGACATTTTCTATTGCACCCCCAAATCAGACAAGCTGGATTCGGCCCTGCATATTACTCATAGTTAGGCACATGCTTTAACCCCTTGATTACTCAAGATGTCCACCACTTCCCAGCCAGTGCCATTAGTACAGTGACTATGTATAGTATTATCACTGATCACTGTATTAGTGTCACTTTTGATGTCAATGTCAGCTCCCACCCAGGGTTAGTTAGTGTCAGATTGCCCACTGCACTATTTCAGTCCCACTATAAGTATGATCACTGCCATTAGTAGCTAAAAAAAAAAAAAAAAAAAATCAGTATATACACCATTGTTTGTAGACGCTATACCGTTCATTCAAACCAATCAATATACATTTATAGGGATTTGTTTACAAAGACATGTAGCAGAATGCATTTTGGCCTAAATTTATGAAGAAATGTTTTCCTAGCAAAATATTGATCAGATGTAACCCATGTTTATATAACCCTGTCTTTCTCTATTCAATAATTCTTTTGTGGAAGATATGTTAACACATTTTTTTATCGGGCATATTTTATAGCAGGAAGTACAAAGTATTGTTTTTTTTTTTCAAAATTGTTGGTCTTTTTTCATTTATAGAATAAAAATACCAACAAAAGACAGCTCTATTTGTGTGAAAAAAATTATAGAAATTTAATTTGGGTGCAGTGTTGCATGACTGTGCAATTACCAGTTAAAGTAGCACAGTGCTAAATAGCAACAAAGTGGGCTGGCTGGCCATGAAGGGGGTAAAATCTTCCAGAGCTGAAGTGGTTAACCCCTTGACGCCGACGTCACACAAATATGCGGCCTCACGGAACTGGGCTTTTTTCCATTGCATACCTGTCTTTGTGCTGGGAGTGCGCTGCACTGTGCGTTCCCAGCACAAAGACCGCGGTTTCACTGAGAGCCCCGGATCCCGTTCTAATGATCAGACCCAGGACTCCCGATTCGGGTCACATGATCGCTGTGATAGCCTCTGATTGGCTATCACAGTGATCAGTAACTGTGCAGCCCGGCCCCCTTGTGTTTTTTTTCTCTCTCTATGAATGGAGAAGAGAGATACATTGTATCATTATATAACATTTTATTATACATTGTATCATTATATACATTCCATTATACATTGTATCATTATATAAATCCTATTATACATTGTATCATTATATACATCCTATTATACATTGTATCATTATATAAATCCTATTATACATTGTATCATTATACACACCCTATTATACATTGTATCATTATATACATCCTATTATACATTGTATCATTATATACATTCTATTATACATTGTATCATTATACACATCCTATTATACATTGTATCATTATATACATCCTATTGTACATTGTATCATTATATAAATCCTATTATACATTGTATCATTATATACATTCCATTATACATTGTACCATTATATACATTCTATTATACATTGTATCATTATACACATCCTATTATACATTGTATCATTATATACATCCTATTGTACATTGTATCATTATATACATCCTATTATACATTGTATCATTATATAAATCCTATTATACATTGTATCACTATATACATTCCATTATACATTGTATCATTATATACATTCCATTATACATTGTATCATTATATACATCTTAATATACATTGTATCATTATATACATTCTATTATACATTGTATCATTATATACATTTTATTATACATGGTATCATTATATACATTCCATTATACATTGTATCATTATATACATTCTATTATACATTGTATCATTATATACATTCCATTATACACTGTATCATTATATACATTCTATTATACATTGTATCATTATATACATTCCATTATACACTGTATCATTATATACATCCTATTATACATTGTATCATTATACACATCCTATTATACATTGTATCATTATATACATTCCATTATACATTGTATCATTATATACATTCCATTATACATTGTATCATTATATACATTCTATTATACATTGTATCATTATATACATTCTATTATACATTGTATCATTACTGTATATACATTCTATTATACATTGTATCATTATACACATCCTATTATACATTGTATCATTATATACATCCATTATTCCATTATACATTGTATCATTATATACATTCTATTATACATTGTATCATTATACACATCCTATTATACATTGTATCATTATATACATTCCATTATACATTGTATCATTATATACATTCTATTATACATTGTATCATTATATACATTCTATTATACATTGTATCATTATATACATTCTATTATACATTGTATCATTACTGTATATATACATTCTTTTATACATTGTATCATTATACACATCCTATTATACATTGTATCATTATATACATTCCATTATACATTGTATCATTATATATACATTCTATTATACATTGTATCATTATACACATCCTATTATACATTGTATCATTATATACATTCCATTATACATTGTATCATTATATAGTTCAGTGCCAACGTTATTGTTTGAGTCAAGGTCAGGGTCAAAGTTCAAAGGTCAGGAATTAAAATTTTTTTTTTTCAGTGTCAGTATGTTTTAGGTAAAAAAAAAAAGACAAAAACAAAATGCTCACTATTGTTTCTGGGCTGTACTCCTGGTACAAATAACATACACATATATGGTATCGCTGCGATCGCCAAGAGCTGGAAAGTGTATTTTGGTTTCTTCTTTGGTGGTAGGTTATGGTAGTAACAAACAAACACACAGCTAAATAAAAAAAATTTTTTTTTACTATTTTGGGCCAGTTTTCCTTTGATAAAAAAAATAATCAGGAGATATTCATTACCATTTACCACCAAATGAAAGCCCAATTTGTCCTGAAAAAAAAAAAACGCGGTATAATCCACCCGGATGTATAAAGTAGTTGTGATGATATGTACGGTTTTACTAACACGTCAACGTTGCAAAATTGTGCTTAGGCATTTAGATTTGTTTTACCCTTAGGTGTGAAGGGGTTAATCATTGACAAAGGTACAGACCCATGGCAGAAATATAAAATTGCTCTCGTCCATGGGGGGTGTACAGGTGTCAGAAGTGAAATGGTTAAACTGTTTGTTATGTCCCCCCCCCCCCCCAGTTTATCTTGTGCTTCAGCTTTTACCAATGGGAGCCGATGACTTACGGTAGCTACCACTACCCGACGTGGTCGATGGTCCTCGGATGGTTGATGTTGGCCTGTTCCGTCATCTGGATTCCAATCATGTTTGTCATCAAAATGCATCTGGCTCCAGGCAATTTTATTGAGGTAACTAACAGCATCTCAATCATTATGTCTCCTCGTTTTGCATACTAAACGCCGCTCGTCTCTGTCCGCTGCAATCGGTGAGGGTGGCGCGGCGTCCAATAAGCAAGGGAACAGCTGGGACATAAAAACATTACAAAGCTCTCCATGGCGGGCGAACACCTTGCCAAAATGTCGCATACGCCCCAACACAGCTATCCGTCTCGGCGGCGCATTTTTTTTTTTTTTTTTACAAGCGCTCATCTGGGAGGTCGAGGTGTCAAAATGGCAATTTAACGGAGATTAAAAAATAATGCAATGGAAGCTCAATTAAAATAATGCAATTGAAGCTCAATTTATTTTAATGGCTAATAAACCATTAATGTCTTTTTTTTTTTTAATAACGCCGGGAGTTTGTTTCAATACCGTTTTTTTGAGAAAGAAAAAAAAAAATCGCTTCTCTATCAAAGTACATTTTCAGTAAATGAAAATGGCATCCAAAATTAAGCCCATTTCTAGTCTCTATTCGCTGGGCGCTCGATTAAGAAAGCAATTGTTCACTAAATAATTAAAATCTCTATCACAAATTATTGTTTTTTTTTTTTTTTATGAGGTTTGCTGTGTATACTTTGGAGGATTATCATAAATGGGGATTCAGTGACTTGGAGAGCCTCCATCGCAGAGGTGACTGGGAGGAATAATTAAGAAGAGTCCTTGTAGTTCTTGAAACATTGTTTAAAAGTCTTGGAAGTTCCAAAAGAAATATCTATTTCCCAAAGGCAGTGCAAGCAACATATATATATATATATATATCAGGGGCGGACTGACCATTTGGAAACTTGGGCGCTGACCGAAGGCCCCAGGTCAGTAGGGGGGCCCATGAGATGCCCCTGGTACCTTTTTCATAGGCTTTTTTGACTTTGGGCAAGGACACAGGGGCCCCATGATCCCCTATTGCCCGGGGGCCCCATGAGTAGGCTTTTTTGACTTTGGGCAAGGACACAGGGGCCTCATGATCCCCTATTGCCCGGGGGCCCCATGAGTTGTCAGTCCGCCCCTGATATATGTATATATATATATATATACTGTATATGTATATATATATATATATATATATATATATATAGTAAAAATGATACAAAATTTTATTTACAAACTTTCAACATATAAAACAGATCAGCTGGTATGACATAAGTCTACAACGGGGGTGCTCAACCTTTTGATGAGCGAGGGCCACTTAGGGATTTGTAAACCGGCCACAGGCCACGGTGAAATGGAATGCAGTTTAGAATTTCACATTTTTTTGTTTTAATTAGCATCATGAACATTTTCCTCCTGCAGCCCCTGAATGCCCAAAGGTAGGGAGAAGAGGAGAAGCCTACCTTCAGCAGTTGCAGGAGGAAAATGGAGAGGATCGGTTCCTGTACATGCCACCCCCGCCACCACTCTTGTTCCAAGTGTAAAACAGAATGTGAGAGGGAGGTCACATGGGCCCCCTGGAGAATGGGTCGGGGACGCCATTGCGACCCAATTGCTACACCAGTGGTTGGGGAGGGTGTGGTAAAAAAAAAGTCTCAACTATGGGGTTTTACCGCCCCCCAAATGGCAAATGAAAACAAGCTCTTACTGTCCTGAGCCCCCTATAATGCTGCTTTCACACGGATGTGCTGCGGTTTACCCACACCCTACAAAATTTTAGAAAAAAAACTTTCAACATATAAAACAGATCAGCTGGTATGACATAAGTCTACAACAGGGGTGCTCAACCTTTTGATGAGCGAGGGCCACTTAGGGATTTGTAAACTGGCCACAGGCCACGGTGAAATGGAATGCAGTTTAGAATTTCACATTTTTTTGTTTTAATTAGCATCATGAACATTTTCCTCCTGCAGCCCCTGAATGCCAAAGGTAGGGAGAGGAGGAGAAGCCTACCTTCAGCAGTTGCAGGAGGAAAATGGAGAGGATCGGTTCCTGTACATGCCACCCCCGCCACCACTCTTGTTCCAAGTGTAAAACAGAATGTGAGAGGGAGGCCGCATGGGCCCCCTGGAGAATGGGTCGGGGACGCCATTGCGACCCAATTGCTACACCAGTGGTTGGGGAGGGTGTGGTAAAAAAAAAGTCTCAACTGTGGAGTTTTACCGCCTCCAAATGGCAAATGAAAACAAGCTCTTACTGTCCTGAACCCTCTATAATGCTGCTTTCACACTGATGTGCTGCGGTTTACCCACACCCTACAAAATTTTAGTTAAAACTTTCAACATATAAAACAGATCAGCTGGTATGACATAAGTCTACAACGGGGGTGCTCAACCTTTTGAAGAGCGAGGGCCACTTAGGTATTTGTAAACCAGCCACAGGCCACGGTGAAATGGAATACAGGTTAGAACCTCATTTTTTTTTTGTTTTAAATAGCATCATGAACATTTTTCTCCTGCAGCCCCTGAATGCCAGCGGTAGGGAGAGGAGGAGAAGCCTGCTTTCAGCAGTTGCAGGAGAAAAATGGAGAGGATCGGTTCCTGTATATGCCACCCCTGCACTCTTCTTGTTCCAAGTGTAAAACAGAATGTGAGAGGGAGGCCGCATGGGCCCCCTGGAGCATGGGTTGGGGTTGCCATTGCGACCCAACTGCTACACCAGTGGTTGGGGAGGGTGTGGTAAAAAAAAAGTTTTACTGCCTCCCAATTGGCAAATGAAAACAAGCTCTTACTGTCCTGAGCCCCCTATAATGCTGCATTCACACTGATGTGCTGTGGTTTACCCACACCCTGGGAACAGCACACTGCACCTGTGGCTTTCCTGCGGGTTAGCTGTGCTTTGCCATTGACTTCTATTATATCTTGTGGGTGTGGTGCACTTCTGAAAGTGCACCAAAACTCCTGTATTCAGTTTGAGGTAGAGGACCACATCAGAGGGCTCAGAGGGCCACATTTGGCTTGCAGGCAACAGGTTGAGCACCTCTGGTCTACAAGGTACCATATGTCAGTTGAATACCCAAACAGTCCTCAAATGGGGACATCATATTGTCATATGATGCAAATGCATTCCGCAATAGCCCCCAATTGAACACCCAATGTGTTTCAAGGTGATTCCTTTCTCCTCTTTTTAGGGGTGCAAAAGTAGTAAAGGGTATATAAACCATTGTAGACATAATTTGACCAGTCAAAATACACTTGTGACAGACCCTAGCCAGGACAGGGGTTTTGGAGGGAACTGTAGGTTAGCCTCTTGCGTACTGGTACCATGGACCTGGCATCTGAGGGGACTTTATTCCTTGGTGTATGCCTGGGGGGACCTTTGGAGCAGTTAATGCTGGTTTTGGCAGAGAGACCCCAAATCTGTACCCTGGTCCTCCAGTTCTAAGAGTCTTTTTTTTTTTTTTTGGGGAGACGTGGATTTGAATCCAAAGTAAACTGCTCCAAAGGTCCCCCCAGACACACACCAAATAATAGAGCCCCCTCAGATACTGGGGCCATGGTCAGTAGGCAAGAGGCTAGCCTGCAGTCCCCTCCAAAACCCCGGCCCAGGTTGGGTCTGTTCTAACACTTAAAACCAAGCCATGGTCTGAAGATGTCCCATCAATTACCTCCATCTGTCCCAAATGGAACCAAGTTCGCCCCAGGAAAAAATGCAACCACAGAGGCCAACAGAGCTGCCCATTGGCAATTCTCCATTTAACCAATATGTGTGTCCTAAAAGGCAATCAAAGAGTACGGTATGTTCTGATTTGATTCCATTTGGGACAGGTGGGAGTAATTGATGGGACATCTTTAGACCATGGCTTGCTTTTATCTGTATTTTGGCTGGTCGTTCCATCAATTTCCTCCATCTGTCCCAAATGGAACCAAGTGTCCTTAGATGGGAGTGGGAGGCATTATAGAGCACCCCATTCTAAAATGTAAGAAACAAAACTAATAGTTTTACATAACGCAGCCACATCCACACATGTAAGGCACCCAACATTAGTGATTTATTTTTACAATGCAGATATACCTTTCCACACAGATACTAACTAGTATTGCAATGTTTCTCTTCTCCTTCAAATTTTCACCCACATGCAGCTAATGTGACCCCAATGCTGATGGAGAAAGACAAGGAAAGGGCAAACAAGGACACTGCAGGTGCCCAAAATGCTCCTTAGCAACCAATTATATCATTGGTTGCTAGGATGCCGGTGGCCCGGCCAGCACGATACTCAAAGTTGTAATTTGCACAACAAAAACCCATCATTTTGCGTAACCAAAAAGGTCCAGGCTTGTTCCACCCACTGGCTTGTTGTTGAGGGCAGTCTGGGACACTTTTTAGGCATTTTTGCCACAACATCCTTGAAAAACCAAGATGGCACCCCATGGGGAAGTGGTGCCCTGGTTCATAAAGGTTGCTCCAGAACAACATACTCAAAGAGGTGCTTGGAACTCTAGACTTGCATGTGTAGCAAAGAAAGTAAGGAAGTAGTAGTAAGGAATGTCAAAAGCACAAAAGCTACGGTGAGGTGGCTTCCCCACAGCAAGGCTTCTCTTGATGGGAACCCAACAGTAACTCATGACTTCCTGCTCCACCCAACACATTTTGTCAAAAATTACGTCATCAGGGAAATGGAAGCTTCACAGATCTGATCCTCTTATATATCACAAGCAACTATGGATTGATGTTTAGTAACACAAGTCTTATTGTGCTATCGAGGATGTTTATGATTTAGTAATTGCTCACTAAGCACTGCGCTGGTTTATAATTTAGACTTGTATAATTACAGAAAGATCCATGCTAATCAATGTTTCTCCTTTTCTTTTACAGAGGCTTAAATTGGTATGTTCCCCACAGCCGGACTGGGGTCCATTCTTGTCTAAGCATCGTGGAGAACGTTACAAGAACATGATCGACCCATTGGGTACTTCCTCACTGGGACTGAAACTTCCCCCCAAGGATTTCGAGCTAGGAACACAATGCTAGTATCTATGGTGTCTGTACCTTTGCTGTACAGTCTTCTTCACCCATTCGTCATGATGTCCTCCTCCCTCCCCTACTTCTTTCTCCAACAGTGCAGGTGGTCTCTTAGATATACTGTAGGACCCCTTGTTGCATGCAGTAGCAAAATGCCTATACTGACCACCCTGCTACTTGTTGCTTCCCTCTAGTGTCCATATCGTTTTGTTTGACTGCCAAATATCAGCAGTGCCTCGACAATGATTGTCCAGCTGCAGAAAATAGTTTAATTTTATAAGGGGAAATATGTGTAGAAATATATGATGATTCCACAGAAATATCTACCCTACATCAGAATCATTCCATAGTTGACCATTCTCACTATTTTGTCTCTTTTAGATTTGTTGGTTAGCAACATATTCAACGCAGTAGAGTTAAGTTCTCCTTGAGCTTCAGAGTGTTGAGGTCTCCTCTGTCATTCCATAGCTTTGTTTTGTGAATTTTCCTTTTTCTTGTGACTTGTCTTGTTCTTACAGAGAAGTGAGACCCCATATATAATGGGTTTTCTGGTAGACTAAGCCTAGTGTGGTGTTAATGTGGCCATCCTATGGTGGGCCCATTGTTGTCCTTCGTCATTTGTATTAGCTTTCCAAAAAAAGCACCAACTATATTTTATAAATCTGTTGAAGACCCTACTTCAAGTTTGACCATCCAGGTCAGTTAACTAAATTCTGACCTGGATAGGTGACGTCAACGATAGATTTTTAATTGTAGAACCTTTCTCATGGTTCATTTGGGTCAGCCTGTTTGGTAAGGAAAAGATTTGGATGGAAGGTTCCCATGGGTTATTGCATTGGTGCTCTACGTTCTGTTATGCAATAACATTTTCTCTGAGAGTAATTTTAGAAGAGTGCCCAAAGGCTTCCTGTTAAGCCATGAAATAAAAAAAAAAAAAAAAGTTCATTTAAAAACACCTCCTAAAGTAAGGCCTTTTCTTTTCAATTGCTATCATTGATTGTTGACCTTTTTTTTTTAGCATCTCTTTATCTACATAACCATGACTGACCTAAATGACCATCACAATCTTTCCAATTCGCAGGGTCTATCCTGCTGACTATGCAAATTGAAAAATTCCTCCGAGTTTCAAACATCCTTTCAGTTACAAATATAGTGTCGACAGTCTAAAGATCGAATTATCGATCAACTTTGATCACTGGCTGATGAAGATTTCAAATCACATTTTTTGGCCACCTTGATTTCAAGCAAGAAAAATTAGCCTAACTTAGAAGCACAAGTTACATCTCAACAAAAGCACTATCCAAGATAAAAAAAAAAGTCTTTAAAAAGCTATTGGAAATTTGCAGTGGACAACCATTCCAAAATCATTATGCATTGCAAGTGCCACAAATTCAATTTGTTAAGTTGTTTTATGACGCCATGCGATAATCCAACGTCTTCCATGAACTGGCTCTATATTGGAGCTCTTCAACACTTTAAACACATTCTCTAATCACATAAATATTTGATTTTTGCTTTTTACTCCATTATACTCATTATGCATTCACTTTTCACCTCCTGAAGCCATTATATAATTTGTGCCTAATTTTGTATACTCGCTACGATGTGTATACCTGTTAGTAGAATCAGTACTTTGATGTGTTGTTTAGTATTGACCCCCCCCCACCCACTTTTTCGTCTTTCTATAAAAACTTCTAAATGTATTCCGTGAGCAAAACAATAGCAGCCAGCTTTGTCTATATATATATATATATAGTATATTATTACATGTTTATCAACATCTTCTTAATCCCGAGCCAAGCCATATGTGTTTGTAAATAGCGTCTTTTACTGTTAGGAGAAGGTCAAGTGCTGATTTATACAAACAGAGCTATTGAAACATCAAACAACAATATTTATAGCAGCAATGGGCAAGCCCTTGATGGATTTCATCAAATCTTAAACATTTTGTCATATCCTATCTTTAACATCATGCATTGTATTCCTTTAATCCTAGTCAAGATGGCCAGACCAGTCTAAAAGCCATGTTGACTGGTCAAAGACTCAAGCTTCTTCTGTTCCTTCAAGGTGTTTCTTGGCCTAATGGGATTATATAATCTTTCTCCTTTGTTCTGAGTCTGTTTTATTGGATGGTTGGGGCAGTTTCAAAAGAAGCATCCATGGGGCTTCCATGAGTGCATTCATATAAGAAGTCTGAATCTTCTCATTTGAGGTGACTTGTCCACTGTTCACAGATGTTCTTTGGAACTTTAACACTAGAGCTGTACCAAGTATTGCCACCTGGTCCCGCAGCAGTTCCAAAATAAGATTCCATGGTTGCATTCATGTAAGAAGCCTGAACCTTGGCCACTCTTTACAGATGTTCCTTGGAACTTTCAGGCTAGAGCTGTACCAAGTATTTCCAATTGGTCCCACATCAGTTCCGAAAGAAGCTTCCATGGGTACATTCTTATAAGAAGTCTTAACCTTCTCATTTGAGGTGGCTTGGCCACTGTTGACAGATGTTCCTTGGAGCTTTCACACTAGAGCTGTACCAAATATTTCCACCTGGTCCCACAGCAGTTCCAAAAGAAGCTTCCATGGGTGCATTCATATAGGAAGTCTGAACCTTCTTATTTAAGGTGGCTTGGCCACTGTTCACAGTTGTTCATTGGAACTTTAACACTAGAGCTTTACCAAGTATTTCCACCTGGTCCCACAGCAGTTCCAAAAGAAGCTTCCATGGCTGCATTCATATAAGAAGCCTGAACCTTGGCCACTGTTCACAGATGTTCCTTTGAACTTTCAGACTAGAGCTGTACCAAGTATTTCCAATTGGTCCCACATCAGTTCCAAAAGAAGCTTCCATGGGTACATTCTTATAAGAAGTCTTAACCTTCTCATTTGAGGTGGCTTGTCCACTGTTCACAGATGTTCCTTGGAACTTTCACACTAGAGCTGTACCAAATATTTCCACCTGGTCCAACAGCAGTTCAAAAAGAAGCTTCCATGGGTGCATTCATATAGGAAGTCTGAACCTTCTTATTTAAGGTGGCTTGGCCACTGTTCACGGTTGTTCCTTGGAACTTTAACACTAGAGCTTTACCAAGTATTTCCACCTGGTCCCACAGCAGTTCCAAAAGAAGCTTCCATGGCTGCATTCATATAAGAAGCCTGAACCTTGGCCACTGTTCACAGATGTTCCTTGGAACTTTCAGACTAGAGCTGTACCAAGTATTTCCAATTGGTCCCACATTAGCTCCAAAATAAGCTTCCATGGGTACATGCTTATAGGAAGTCTTAACCTTCTCATTTGAGGTGGCTTTTCCACTGTTCACATAAGTTCCTTGGAACTTTCACACTAGAGCTGTACCAAATATTTCCACCTGGTCCAACAGCAGTTCCAAAAGAAGCTTCCATGGGTGCATTCATATAGGAAGCCTGAACCTTCTTATTTAAGGTGGCTTGGCCACTGTTCACGGTTGTTCCTTGGAACTTTAACACTAGAGCTTTACCAAGTATTTGCACCTGGTCCCACAGCAGTTCCAAAAGAAGCTTCCATGGCTGCATTCATATAAGAAGCCTGAACCTTGGCCACTGTTCACAGATGTTCCTTGGAACTTTCAGACTAGAGCTGTACCAAGTATTTCCAATTGGTCCCACATTAGCTCCAAAATAAGCTTCCATGGGTACATGCTTATAGGAAGTCTTAACCTTCTCATTTGAGGTGGCTTTTCCACTGTTCACATAAGTTCCTTGGAACTTTCACACTAGAGCTGTACCAAATATTTCCACCTGGTCCAACAGCAGTTCCAAAAGAAGCTTCCATGGGTGCATTCATATAGGAAGCCTGAACCTTCTTATTTAAGGTGGCTTGGCCACTGTTCACAGTTGTTCCTTGGAACTTTAACACTAGAGCTTTACCAAGTATTTCCACCTGGTCCCACAGCAGTTCCAAAAGAAGCTTCCATGGCTGCATTCATATAAGAAGCCTGAACCTTGGCCACTGTTCACAGATGTCCTTGGAACTTTCGGACTAGAGCTGTACCAAGTATTTCTAATTGGTCCCACATTAGCTCCAAAAGAAGCTTCCATGGGTGCATTCTTATAGGAAGTCTTAGCCTTCTCATTTGAGGTGGCTTCTCCACTGTTCACAGAAGTTCCTTGGAACTTTCACACTAGAGCTGTACCAAATATTTCCACCTGGTCCAACAGCAGTTCCAAACAAAGCTTCCATGGCTGCATTCATATAAGAAGCCTGAACCTTGGCCAGTGCTCACAGATGTTTCTTGGAACTTTCACACTACAGCTATTCCAAGTATTTCCACCTGGTCCCACAGCAGTTCCAAAAGAAGCTTCAATGGCTGCATTCATGTAAAAAGCCTGAACCTTGGCCAGTGCTCACAGATGTTCCTTGGAACTTTCAGATTAGAGCTGTACCAATTATTTCCACCTAGTCCCACAGCTGTTCCAAAAGAAGCTTCTATGGGTGCATTCATATAAGACGTTTGAACCTTCTCAGTTGAGATGACTTGGCCAATGTTCACAGACATTCCTTCGAAATTTCACACTACAGCTGTACCAAGTATTTCCACCTGGTCCAACAGCAGTTCCAAAAGAAGCTTCCATGGGTGCATTCATATAAGAAGCCTGAACCTTGGCCAGTGCTCACAGATGTTTTTTTAAACTTTCACACTAGAGCTGTACCAAGTATTTGTACCTGGTCCCACAGCAGGTTCAGAACAACCTTGTTGGATCATATTATACTGTTGGCTTGGAAGGAAAGAGAAAGAGCTAATAAGCTTGACCATGAAAATTGGACTCTAGGCTGGTCTTCCCCAGAGAATAAAGACCACTAGAATAAAGAAACAGAAATTAGGTTTTGGAGGTTCTAAATAGAGAAAAACTACCAGCATTTCTTTAAAATTAGTCAATAGTTCCCTGTCCCATGCAAGCCAATATGGCAACCTCCAAAAAAATTAAAGATATACTCCAGCAAGCATTACTTACAACTAACCTGGATCAAAAAC